TCTTCATATATTTCTCTGATCATGATACAGTATTTCTGCACATTGTGCATGGATCCTCTACAGAAACAAGAGAATTGTGTCAGGATTAATGGTAGTTTGGCTGAAAGGTCAAGCTCCACTTGTTACAGATAAGCCACGATGACCTCACCAGCACAGAGCCAGAGTGAGAGAAAAAAAGGATTCCAACCAAAATGGAGAACTTTAATGTGGATGGAGCTGCTCTTTAACTAGGAAAAAAGAAAAGAGAATGTAACATGCAGTCCATAAAAACAAAATGACAATAAATTATATTTCTCAATATATATACACATATATTTATATATTTATAGATATATAAAATTTACAAATAGAATAACCATTTTATAATAGCTTACGACGTGGACTGCTTGGGCATCAGGAAAAATAAACACATTTTTTAGCAGGTCCACAGTTAATAACCAAATGCAAACACGTCTTTCATTTCAAGCGTCAGTACCTAGTAACATTGTCCTTAGCAGACAAGTAAATTGAATGCTGAGATTGGGATAGATAAAAGGAGCACACAGGCTGTTGATGAGACAGATGCTGAGACTGCCTGCCCGACCTCTGGAACTTGGAAATTAAATACATGCTAACAGTTTACTGTGCAAATTCAAAATGAAAAGGCACTAAATTTAGTAATCACCGGGAGGTGACACTTTTGTCCTGTATGGTCCGGGTAATGCAGTATGCCTGTATCCAGTTTTGTGCTTCTTCCCAACATGGTAAAGTTAAATGACTCCTGATGGCAGCTGTTGGTGACTTTTCCATCCTCTAAGACGCTGGCTTTGTGGCGTGACTCCAGGAATGTGTGATGCAGGCTGTAAGGCCCTACTGTAAACAGCTTAAAGAAAAACAACTCCATCAGCTTCTCCTAACCACAGTAAACCAAGGGGAGGATTATCCTCTGCCCTCTCCATTTCTACGTCCTTCCACTCCTGCTCAACAGGGTGCAGACACAAGCTGTATCAATTCGAATCCAGCGCCAGCCCACCAACTTGTCGTATGCAGTTAGTGCCCGTACATATGACTGCTTTGGTTTACATTCTGATATCCATTGTCTTTTGTCCACCCCTCGGCAACCACTGGTGGTGCTGCCTTGAGGGTTGCATTTGGTCTCAAAAAAGTATTGCTTTAAGGGACCTGTGAGTGTCTGAATTTCAGACAAGATAGTAACAGTCTTACCCCGAATATCTACTGCCTGTCGTTTGTCGGTGACCCAGACGTTTATGCTGTCGCACACCGACTGTTCTCCCCTTCTTGAAAGGCTGACAGAATCAGAGCCCTGTGCCCGTTTCACTCGAGAAGTTCTATTTGCTGGCTCTGAGTGTGCAATGGTCTCTTCCGCCAAGAACAGAAGGGGAGGTCCAGATGGCTCCTGACTGGACAGAGCCACTCTTGAGGAATAAAGGTTCCATTCTTTATCCAACATGTCAGGATATGTAGTTGCCAAGTCTGGAAAGATCCCTTCGTGGAGTCCTTCAGTTAAGTTATAGGGTTCTTGAACTTGGTCTGACGTGAAGGAAGAATTGTTGGGGCCATAATCCCGATCGGTGTTCTGGTTTTGGAAAGGTGCAGCACTGATGGCACAAAGGTATGAGATCACCATGACATTAAGGCGGAGGAGCATTACTTAATCCACCTCAAACAACTGCAAAGAGAATAAAAAATAACAGTCAGAATGTATGTCTAAAGAAAAGTTTTTTGTTTTGAACAGACAGTACATTAAAAACTGACATTTCTGTTATTAGTGAACTGAATCTTTCATTGATTTCTTATGCCTCATGGGGACTCCAGTAGAGGGGGCCAGCCCACCTGACTGCTATGGCATGAAAACCTCAAATATCAACGTTAGAGTCTCTGAGAAGTCTAGAAACATGATGGGTAATATACTGGATTTGGATGGTGATGCCTTTCTAATTCGACATAACTTAGCTTGTGTCTGAATTCACTGTTTTCTAAAATGAGAAATACATTGAGGGAGTACAAGTACAAGTTCAAACCTCCAAAAAAATCCATCTTGCTCTCTAGCTCAGTTTTCCTTTTGAAAATGTTAACTAGGTAGGAATTCTTCTTTTATCCTCATAAGCCACTAAAATGTATAAGTCACAAAGGAGTAGAAAAAGAAGGGTAAAAGATACATTATATTTTAATGCACGTTATGAAATATGAATGTAATGAATGCATGTAATATGAATACACAGCTAATAAATTAAGGAAGAGTAGTAGACATGGTTGGGCAAAAGTGGCATTGTCTATAGTGCTTGCGGTTACATCTTAGATTAAGTCATTATTCTTAATCTAAGCAGTATAATGTCCTGATAATGAGGACTGTCGCTGGACAGGAGGCGGTAGAGAGCCTTATTTGTTTAAGCATGGTCTCCTGTCACCTGGTTGCCCATGCAGCCAAGAGAAAACCTTTTGCTTACGTGTATGGTTAAAATTCATAAGCAGTTTTGAGGGGGGCTCTTGCGGACAAATGTAGTAGCGGGGCAACACAATACATTAAATACAAGCTCTTTACCATTACAACTATCCAGTGACCCTATAAGTGTCTATATGGGTAATAGGGCTAGTGGGCTAAAAAGGTTTTTCAAGGGAAAGAATGTATTAATATGGTTTAAAGGAGGCCTGTGATAAGAGGAATACATAGACTGCCATTTCTAACTTCCTCTTCTTTAAAGCTTAACTCCAGGCCAAATGATTTTTTGGAAATGTAACCTTGAAAGATTATTTTTTTCTTTTGTAAAGCTGTAGCAGCAAAACTTTTACTATCTACAGCTGTCCACCACAGTACCTCTTATTTGCTACAAGAGGCCCTCAGTCTTCTGGACTAAATAACGCCCAGCATCACTCAGGAAAAACTGTCAGCGCAGGGCGACATTGTCTCACCCCATAAACAACGATAAACTGCATTCACAGTGTATTGATGCAGGAGAGGTGCTAATGTCCTCACATCAATGCCACTTCTGCATCACTCAGGACTGCCCACCTCTGGAGAAGACCGAAGAGGAACCAGTATATCACCAGACCAATCACAAGACATTGCAAGTTAAAAAGCATTAAATACTTCTCGGGTTGAGCTCAAGGGGACCGCAGGCTTTAGGGGGAGCCCAGAGATGGACTTTAAATGTTATTTGCATGGCTGTCATACTGATTTAGTTGCTCAAACACTTTCATGTTAATCAGATGCTGCAGGAACCACTACTCTGAGCAACAAGTGAAGCAAGCCCTTTTCTAAGAGCCTTTGTTTATCAAACCATTTAGCACAATTCCCCCTTTTGGCTCTGGCGAGTGAACTGTGTGTGAGAAGAGTAAAGCAGGTAAAGAGTCTCTTGAGTTGGACAGAACAGTAGCAAAAACTTACCGCATATTGTTAAACCCATGAAAAGCCTGATGGTAGTTCTATTATCTGTAGAACATTGGTTATAAAACAACTGGACTTATAAATACATGTGCATTTTTAATTAGGTGATCATCTCCTTAAATGACAACTATTAATGTAGTTGTTCCCCCAACAGACTGTGGGAAAATCTTGCATCTGCAAATGTGCTGCTTTAGGGAAATTGTACATTGTGGACTATAATAATTACCAAGCCTTAGAAACACATATTGACCACAGACCTTCAGCTCACATCTGTTCATCTGCTTGCAGATGGTATGCAGAGCAGAAATAGAATTATAAAATAGTTAGGATTAAAGGCTTCATTAAAAGGAGAAACACTGAACTGGGGTTCAATTCTTATATAACACTTCTTAATAGATATCAGTTGCTGTAACTTTGTTATTAGAAAAAAATAATAAGGAATTGGCAAGAATTCTCACTTATTCTGATTTAATACACTGTAGACCTCCTGAAGCGCCAGAGAAAATTACAGCCAATTACTGGTTGGATGCCCCTCATGCAACACATGCAATTCCAATAAGGTTCCAGCAGATGTCTCCAGTGGGACCAAGTAGATATTGTTGCATGTCAGATAATGTTTTAGTGACCTCTTCAGTGAAATAGCTCAAAATAGTTTGATACCATAAAACAAATGTAGATTGAAAGCATCTTAAGTGCTCTTCAGGCAAGCAAAAATATTTAGCATCTATAAAACATACTCAAAACCAGAACATTTTAGGAAGCTGACCCCTCATCACCACCACTATATTGTTAGAAACTAGGGATGTCCCAAAACCGATACTAGTATTGGTATCGGGGCCAATACTGGGCATTTTCAGGAGTAGTTCTACTTGTGAAAATGCCCCGATACTAAAGGCCAATACTGGCCCTTTAACGTTTTAAGCAAGTTTGGCTGCCTGATGTCCCGCGCTTGCTGGGGACCTCAGGGAGCCTGCTGGGGAGCTCAGGCAGCTGTGTTTGATAGTGCCTGTCTGGCCATACATTGCCTCCCCTCCTTTCCGGCCCTGGCATATCAAAGGACAGCCCCACACCCACCAGTACAACCCTGGAGCCAGGATCCCATCTGTTTAGCCCTGGAGTGCCTGGCAGCTGCATGCAGTGCCCTGGAGAGCCTGGCACCCGTCTGTACAGCCCTGGAGAGACCCACATGCAGTCCTGGTGAGACCGAAACGCCGCCCTGGTGAGACCCAAATGCAGCCTGTATAATTGCTGTATAATTATGGATTGCTGGGATCTTAGTCCTCTATTGCTGGCTATCATTCTGCATTGCTGTATAATCAATGATTACACAGCAATAGAGAATGGCAAACGGCTATAGAGGACTACAAATCTCAGCAATCCATGGTTGCCATTCTCCATTGCGGTATAATCATGGATTGATGAGATCTGTAGTTCTCTATTGCTGGTTGCCATTATCCATTGCTGAATAATCATGGATCGAGTTACAGTTCTTCATAATTATAAAGAAACTGCCCTAAAATCAGTAGTCTGTATTTTTTTTTAAAAAATGTCACATGTCCCTTTTAAGAAAAAGTATCAGTAATTGGTATCGGCGAGTACCTGAAGGAAAGTACTTGTATTTGGTCTTGAAAAAATGGTATCGGGACATCCCTATTAGAATTCTCAACTAATCTGCCACACTACACCCCTCTCCCCAGCTGTAAAAATTCTGTGCCACCCTGGATGCTGTTTGAGAACTAAAAAGGCTGAAAACAGAAAAAGGCGCCTCCTCCTCCCTGTAATATCATTTATTAGAAAAAAATTAAAATGGATAATAGTAATCACAAACATGATGAGGACATGGGCATAAACAACACCAATTCAGCCCTCTAAGATCTTAACCGTAGAACTCCTATGGACAGCATAGCCAAACAGAGTAATCCACTATTACTGGTCTCACCAGTATTGCAGTTTAGTGCTTATGTGTTTCAGGGGCAAGCTCTGGTGAGGGTCGGCATCTCTCTTCTCCTTCCAAAGTAGAAGATCTTGCTGCACTCCTTACTGGATATCCTAAACGATGGGGAGGGTGCTTGTAATGACTGCAGGCGACATCGCTGTACGCATAGATTGGTTATGTCACCAGCACACCGAAAATCCTTTCAGGATCACCAAATGCTCATTTTATCAGAATGGAAACAAGCTCTTTCAGGGCCACGCAGGGTCCCTTCATCAGGCTTTAACATCAACAAAAATGATGTCAATGCCTGATAAAGGGACTCTGCGTGGCCCCAAAAGCGCTTGTTTTCATTCTGGCAAACTGTTCCATAAAATGAGCATTTGGTGATCCTTAAAGAATTTTCGGTGTGCTGCTGACATTCTTCATAACCAATCTCTTCTCCTTAGCACCAATCCCCCCGTCGGTGTCTCTCTCCTCCAAACCAGCGCCGGTCGGTGTCTCTCTCCCCCTCCCTCCTAGCGTAGGTCGGTGTCTCTCTCCTCCTTCCCCCATCGGTGTCTCTCTCTTCCTCCACCCAACGGTGCCTCTCTCTTCCTCCCCTCTCACAGCATCGGTCGGTGTCTCTCCCCACCCCCCTGGTCGGTGTCTCTCTCCTTCCGTGGACAGTAGACCGCTCAGTGTTTATGTCATCACAAACTACCACCCTATCTGCTTGAAAAAACGTATCTTTCCCCTCCAGCAGCTGTGCTCTGCTTTTGCCAGGTTAAAGAAAGCTCCGCCCCTAAAGAAAAAAACCTTCCTGCACGCACGTGCTCAAGAAGGTACCAAGTGCATGGGGTGGGGGGCACTACCTTAACAATTACACTGCACATATTAAATGATAATAAAAAATCGTGAAACGTGGCTCTAAAGAGGACAAGATCCTCATCATGCTTCAAGGTAGAAATGATCTTGACACTAACGAAGGAGATTACTGTCAATACCAAAAGAACAATGACGCTTAGTGGCCTACCACTGTGGACGAAGCTTCCTGTGGAAAATTGGAGGACTACGTTTTAATTCTGCTTCAGGCTGCCCATTCCAGTAGAAAGTATCTGAAATTAGAAATCTGAAGCAGACATAAATACAATTTTTCCACTTATCTGGAGACAGCTATAACGTCATTGTGTTCACCTGTGTACTGCTGAATTACTTTCTCAGAAGCAGTAAATTGTGACATTTTAAACATTAACAATTTTCAAATAGGACAGAAATTATGTCCTGCTTTTAGCATGTTCACTTGTCACATTCTTTGTGAAGTTGGCTCTTTAAGGAGTAAGAAAGGATCTTCCCTTGCAGCTCTCCTCTT